ACATATATGTTCATACATACATACATACATGTTCATACATATACGTTCATACATATACATTCATACATACGAGTACATGTATTACAAAGGAAGGAAAAAAGAAATACGTTAATATATTTTTATTTAAAAATTCTTTTGCAACCACCAGTTATATATTTTCAATACATTTTGTAACGCGCAATTCTTAACATGTTGTCCACATCGCATATTATGGTATTGGCAACATCCAAATTAGTTAAAGATTCCATGTGTTCGTAAACTGCATCCAAGGTCTCGATGTACATACGTTCTCGCTCATCCAAAAGCAAGTTCCACAGTCACGTTCGTTTCTTGCGTTCCTTAACATACACGATAGCATCATCTTCAAATACAGCTGCTGTGATCAGGCATTTTGCCTCGTTGTAGGGGACCATCCCGTCCTCCCATCGCAATCCATGGTGATAAGCACTCTATCAAGAAGCGCAAGCCTGTCGGATCTTGTCAAAAATTTCCATGGCACGGGACTCGTAAAAATATAATGTATGAGAAGTCCCCTGTTTCAGCATCGCTACTTCTTTCATGATAAATTTCTCATTGACGATGAGTTCTTATCCACGTTGGCACGAGTATGTTGTCGAGAAGACTGCGTGGTCGATTGCGACATATCGTAGATTTTATATCATCGGAGATGCACTTAGATGATTTTGCTCACAATGTTGATCAATGAATTATATTGAACCACGCGATCGTATATGATGAGATAATAGGCTGTTGTATTTGCGGGCACTCTTTACATTCAAAGTCTAATCGCACGTCCACGATGCTACACTTGACCGATTCTGTTGAGAGCAGTCAATGATTACGAACGGGCCATTACGTAAAAAGTAAAGATAAAACTCGGTTTGAGGTACTCGTATCCGTAGCCCTTGCAGAAACACGCGTACAAGTCGTACAGAATCGTACATCTTTTATCAAAATCCAGATTCAAGTCATCGTACGGATAACATTCCGAATTCAGATAGAGTTTCGCATTGGTTAATTTATAGTCGTTGAATCGACTTATATCCTCGGACATTTTTTCGATCTGTTTGCATAGCGAAAATGACGGTGCGAAAATGACGTAGCGCGGCTTCTCGAACTGAATAGCCTGATGACCCACGAATGCTTGATTGTGCTCTGCAAGAGTAGAAACTCGTATAGATCTCACGAGCGAAAAGCCATGCACAGATATCATCTATTCTCCAAAGCGTGCAGCATCGACAGCTTATTTATCTCGCTCAATAACACGTGCGGCATTCGCCACTGTACTTTGAATAATTCGAGCGTTGGCTCTGTCGCCGGATCTCCCGTCAGACAATTGTTGTCGTTGTGCGCTCGTATTAAAATCAATTCGTGACGAGCGTTGATCACGACGCGTTTGTAATCTTCGCAAAATCCCGGCAGCACGTAGAGCAGTACACAGAAATTAAAGTATCCGCCCGCAGTAGTCTGCGCATTCCAGCCGGCATTCCGCAAATCACGCTTCTGTCGGATGACACTGTTATATAATTTTTGAGCGTGCTAGTTATGTTCACATTTCTGTTACGGTCAATCTCCGCACCATTGAGTTTATATCGAATCTCATCGAATATGAACACGACGCAATTATTTCCCAATGCCACGTGAGCACCCTGGATCACTTTGTTCTTCGTCAGTTTTCTCTCGACGTATAGAAAGTTTTCGTACAACAGTGTGTACAGATGTTGTTGTGTGGGTATTCTTATTTCTTTGCTGTACCCGAACGTTGTGTTGGTGAACGAGTTGTACATGTGAGTCTCAATCTTGACGATGCAGTCGTTGAAGATCGGCTCGTCTTTAATAGTTAGAATATCAGTCATCTGAAATGTTGCGCATCGTGAATCCCAAAGATTTTAAAAATGTAACGTTCGACGCGCTGAGCTTCTTCTTCCTGCTGGATGACCGAGTGTTATCGAGCTGTGATGTCACTGGTCTTGTAAAGAATGCGTCATCTCTCTGCGTACGCTCTGTTCCGTTCAGCATGAGCATCTCACGCTCACGTTATCACTGTCGCAATCTGATGATGATCTCTTCTCCTCGAAAATCGAGCACTCGTCCGTTCTGGTCGACGTTGCATATCATTAGATCCGTAATGCTCGATGTAATGATAGATCTGCCGTGCGATGATCGGCAGGTAAATGATCTGCGCCGGCCTCTCCGATATCTTATATCTTGGCGGCACACTCGGCGAAAATTCATATATCGTATGCGCGCTTTTGCCATTGCTGGACGTGCCTGCAGTCATGTTACACTCTATGTGGATAACGTTTATGTTGATTGACATGTCCGATTCGTACCACCTTCGCGGCTGCAGTATACACTTTGACGAGAATCCCAACAGCGATCCAATGCTGTTGGGCTTGCCGAAGTTTATTCTGTATGCACATCTAATCTCGCATCTCTTGTTGTAGTTTGCGCGGAGCGTAATAGGGTATTCTCCACCATTATCGTCATTGGTGTCATTGTTGTTGTTGTTATTGTCATCACGCACTACGTCAACAGTTTCAAGCACGTCGCGGTGCGGCCGTTTCCGTAAAATCGCGCGTTTCAGAAATTCATTTATGTCTCGCACTTCGTACGAACCCTCGGGAATCATAATTTCCGTGTCGTCTTTTGACGAAATAAAATTTGTTGTTCGATTCGTTCACGTTCGGTATCGTGTGATAAGTTTCAAAAATCGTCAGACCAAGCTCGTAATCTTCAAATCTATGGCGGAAAGTATAATAGTTTGCCGCGAGAATGGTGCTCTTCTCGCTCAGCGCAAGCGTCAACGACATGACAAAAAAAGCGTTCGACTAATTCTAAGATTTCACAGTACCTCGTCAAGCTTTTTAAATTCAAGCGCGTCTACCGTTTGTAGAAATTGCAGACACATCTGTCCGCAGAAGCTCTGATCATACGTCTGACAGGACGTGCGATTATACTCTCATCGTCGTAGCACCGTTCCAGAAATATCGCATTAGTTCTTTGGGCGGTCGAAGATTACCAAAACTGTCAAAGTACACGACGCGAGTCCCTCTTTTTGCATATGAAGTATCAGACCCCGCATCGTCCAGATTCACGATACCGCTTTCGCCGCTCGTCAGTAACGTGTTACGCATCTAAAATATGATACGTCTCGCGAGCTCTTTCAATTGCACATTAGTTGCGCCAGACGGCATTTTTATCATCTTTTTGGTTTCCATCTTTCGTTTTTTTTTCTTTGCAGCTACACCCTGTCCACGTTTGTACAGACTGAGATACAGTCCGCGTCCATATTTATACGGAACGAGATACAGTCCGCGACCCTGTTTTATCGTGCAATCGTGACGTTGTAGCTCTTTGAGCTGACGTCGCGCGGCTTTGTTGTCATTTATTACTTTCGTCTGGCCGCTCCGCCGATCAAGGACCCGAGCGCGCCCAACATTGGCAGAAACGGTAACGCACCGCCTCGTTTCGCCATCGGAAGTAATTGCTTTTTTGTCGCCTTTTTTCTCGTCGTCTTCTTCATCGGTTTTATGCCTATGCCGATCTAGGTCTTGGCTTTCATCGCTGCCTAGACGGCAGCAACAGCGGCTCTCTCGCTCAGAGCTGAATCTCTCGCGACGAAGCGTTCTAGTGCTTTATCGGCGAGTACCTTGTCCGCCGCGTGTCTATCGGTGAAATCGTTACTACCTGAATACACAATATCATGTTCTCAGCACGTCGCGTTCAGCGGATTTATGTCCGCATCACCTCTGGCTAATCGCTTTATAAGCCCAGTGTCCGGACCGCAAAACTGATAGCCCGGAATATGTAACTCGAAAGGAAGCGCGTTTATCGCTCGATTCAGCAGACCGCTGCACGACACCGACATTCGTTACAATCCTTTATCTTCGGTGCGGAACGATGTGCACGTCGATGTGCGTCCGCTGCCACGGTTGATTATAGTGATCGTCACAGCAATGATAGGCTCGAACCTGCCTTCATAGATCCTGTTCCGGAAGCTTGTCCCAGACGTTTTCGATGTACTCGCCATACACGCGTAAGAGTACGACTTTCGATATATATTGTAATTGCTCGGTGCTCAAGTCTCGAATATCGGAAGGATGACACAGCGAGAGATATATTTTTTACTGCGCGATTCGCGAGTTCGCGCATCTTTAAATAGTCGAGAGCGCGTAGTGTAAGTATAAAATTCGTGCGGCAATCGTTGACGATATGTGTCACAAACAGTGACGAGAAATCATGAATGATGGGAGGCAGCGCGGAGAAGCGCAAGCACGTCGAATTGCTGTCGAATACTATTCGCGATCATTTGCGGCCCATCTAATTACGGTAAAACCAACATTCTCATAAGTTTGCTCGAGAGTCCAAACGGCGTACGTTTCGAGAACGTGTACATTTATTCGAAATTGCTGCAACAACCAAATCGATTGATATCTCGAAAATTTATTTACATCTATCGGCTATTTTACGTTCTTCAACAATAGCGACGTCGTTCCACCGAGCGAGACGCGACTCAAATTATATTTTTATCTTTGATGACGTGGCATGAAACAAGCAGGATACGATAAGAGAATATTTTTCGATGGGCCGCCATGCGAACGTTGACTTCTTCTATCTCTGTCACACGTACGCGAGGATACCTAAACATCTGATACGCGACAACGCGAATCTACTGATCCTGTTCAAGCAAGATTATATCAACATGAAACACGTTTACAACGATCACGTGAATACCGACATATCGTACGACGAATTTTGTTTGTTGTGTCGCGACTGTTGGCTAAAAATTATGGATTTTTAGTGATAGACAAAGATAGTGTGCTTAAAGACGGGAGATACAGAAAGAGATTTAATGAGTTTGCAATGTTCGTATGCTCAATCGTACGCTCAAAAACGACATGTGGAAGATGTTCACACTCAACATCAATTACAAGTGAATCGACGAGCTGCCGCGTCTCGTATTAGATTACAACGCACGAAAGCATCGCACTATCGGCATGCGACCCGCTGACATAACTGCCGCGATCGCCGAAAGACTTTTGGACATGGCATACAGCGTGATAAAAATCGCTGGTCCGGCAAAATTCAAAGTGGGCAATTCGGTACGCGTGAGCAAGTACGAGACGATTTTTGAGAAGAGTTATACGTCAAATTGGACTACCGAGGTATTTACGATCGTTAAGATGCAGCGTATCTATCTACTCGAGGACTATCGCGGAAAATTCGTCGCTGATGTGTTCTACGAGCACGAGTTGCATCATGCTACTCATCCGGACGTGTATCTCGTGGAGAAAGTATTGCGCCGAAAGGGAGACAAGGTGTATGTCAAGCGGTTAGGATTCGATGGATTGCACAATTCATGAATACACAAAAACAATGTCATTTGATAAAATTTTGATTCGTGTATTTTTCTACATATAAAAATATAAGTATATAAACGTATATTTTTTTTTATTAGTCCCCATTCATCATCTTCGTCGGAGTATACAAAATACATAATTATTTGTAACAACTTATGTATGGAGCAGAATACATATGTACATAGGTAGTAATACATAATAGTAATATGCATAAATGATAAAAACATGAGACACATAAAATGTAAATTAAAACTAATACTAGTTGTATATAATACGTATATAAATGTTAAAAACATACGATATGTATTATATAAAAGTACAATAATTGTAATACATAATAAATTCTATTACATAAAATATACTAATAATACTTGTAAATGTAAAAAAAAGTGTAAATTACAATAGTAATACATAATAGCAATATATACTACATATAATACATATATTACATAAGTATCCGCCAATGCCCCCACGGTAACGTCTCCATCGCGTCCAATACGATGTTTGTCATCGTATGGAGCGATTTTTGATTCGTGTAGTTTAGATCGTATACACGATTGACGGCGAGTCATTTCAATCTCTTCGTTCACCGTGTAATCGTCGAATGTTATCGTTCGCGCTACGACGTTACTCTTTACATCTTTCGCCTTTTTAGTGTCCTTCTTGCCGTCCACTCTCACCGCGTACATCTTCGCTCTGAGTCCAACAAACCGGTCATTAACCGTTGTTCTTCATCAGACCAGGTACTTTTTTGTTCACGAGAGACATACCGTACACGATGTCTGCTGGATAATCGCTCGTGTCGAATCTAGCGATATCGCGTTTTATAGTCTCATAAACATCGTCGCATTCTATATGATAAATGAGACTGTCCGTGTCGGTGTACATGATCTTACATTTGTCGCGATACATGTCGGTGACATATACTCGTGGTGAAATTCGTACAAGCAGACTTTCGATATGTCGAGTATGCACATACCCACGTAAATCGGCTTGTCGAACTTCACCTCAAGTTTGCGCATTTCGACGGAGATCAAATTTTCCGCAAAAATGCTGTGGCTGTGAAATTCGGTTTCGCAATCATTGCCTCCGCGCCGTATCATCTGTCCCATTTTGTCATTAATTTTACATCGACATGGTTGCGCACATGCTCCTGGTTTTACCAAATACCGCGTTGTTCATTAGTTTATACAAATTTTTTTCGAAATCGTTTTTCGCGAGCGTTCTAAATTGAGTATTGAGTTCAATGTAATCTCATGGAGATTGAGCGAATTGTAGCACCCGGTGGATCTTTATTACGCGAAAATCGTGACGAATACATTGCTGCAGGTTGCGGTAGTGGATGACGTAACGCTGCTTATCGTACAACGTCGCTAGAAGTTTATTTTCGCGTTTGCCGTCGTGTAAATGTGGATATGCAAGATCGACTTCGAAAATATAACCGGTAAGTGTTATCCAGAGCGATCGCGCTCACGTCAAAATTCGCAGCGTCTTCGACCCATCGAAATTCGGCGTATGGCAATGGATGACACATCGCTCACCCGTATAAATTGTTAACATCGTATTGCATCAAGTACGACGATTTCGAGAAGTCGAACGAATACATGTATTTGTTATTAGCCTGCGCGTATCTGTCGGAACATTGATTGAGACCGCTGCATATACCGCGCTCGATGAGCATATCAATGTCGGTAAGCAACTCGAATCTTACGCGCATATGTTTCAGCATAGCGTCGAACAAACACTGATCATCGCTCGTTTCGTCGTTATTTCCCGTGGCACTTCGAAGTGACATCACACTTGATGACGTGTCACTTGTATCGCTCGCGCATCGGTGCATCGATATATCTCGCTGTTCTTTGTAATTATGCTCTTATTAGCACGTTTATCTTTCGTCGCGAACTCACCATTGAACGCGATGTTCACTTTTACACTACCGTGTCTTTCTACAGCATCTCGCATTCGTTCTAGAATTACATTGTCAGCGTCTTCTAAAAACCGCCGTGACTCGATGTAATTAGAGTTTGTCACCGCACCTATCAATATACGAAACGCGGCGTCGATCTCTCGCCAGACAAGAGATCGTTCATTGCCATTCGCGTACCAATGTGCACGAAATGTCGCTCCAATTGCAACTTTGCACCTGCGAGTCGCGCGATCCTTATCATCGGGTTGTCTGTGTCCAATAGCGAGGTGCGGACAAAGTTCTTCGAGCTGCTCGATGTACTCGTTGCATCGTTGCAGCCACGCGAAACAGTCCACTAGAGTAACGACCTGGCCGCACTGTTCGAACAGTTCGCGTTCCACTCGCTCGTGGTTTTCCATTTTTTTTTAAATCACGCTCTTACACGGAGCACTTAATAGTTTTTCAATATGCGCAGAGTGGACACATGCTGCACGGGAATACAATGTACATCGGCTCTCCGCATTCCGAGCACACTATTTGCTGTGTATGGAAAGAACAGTCTTTGTGCTTCCTTACGCGATACATTCTTTTAACGTCATTCCTTTCCGCAAAATAATGGTGGACATAAAACTGAGGTATCATCATATGTTGTATAATAACAGCAGATTATGCAGTGCTTAGTATGAATGTTCAACGCACGGAGAAGACTGCTCAAATTTCTCTGCATGATCCATATTGCCGTCATTCAACCTGATAAGACATTCAGTATTGTTGGATTGTACTTTTTCGTTGGACGACTCTTGGTCCATTATGTCCTCAAATTCTACTTCCACTTCAAATAACTTGTCTGTATTCATATCATCCATGTTCTCAACGTCCGATGATCATACTTTTCGCATTACACTTATTGCGATCGATTCGGTAATATTACAAGGCACCAACTGAGGTATTGCACGTTTATGACCCATTATATATTCCATTTGCAACTTCTTTGTTCCTTTGTCTACCCTCCCTATTGGGTCGCAGTATCGACGACGTGTCACCGATCTCTTCTTAGAAAAAATATCGTTATCGACGCTTCTATTAACGCGTCGCGACGTCATCGATCTCGCGGTTGTTCCCAGATAAATATCATTATCGACGCTTCTGACCTAGAAAGAAAGAACTGTGAGAACGCACTATGATTTATCATCTACCCCTCATTGATGGCGCTTTGTTTAGTAACCGGCACATCGATGATGTGTCACCGATTTTTTAGGTAAAAGTTCGCGTTATAGTATCGCATTTTGGAGTGGGTGTGGGGTGGCGGCGATGGCCCTCAACGCATTTTGGGGTCCGCGGCGGCGGCCCGAAATGCATTTTGGGATGGACGCGGGGTTCGCAGGATCCGCGGCGGCGATGGCAGACCCTATCACAATAATACGTGACGTCACAACATGGCGACATGTAAAATACGACGACATGTATCATCATATCAGTAAACATCAATAGCGCCGGGACTCCCTCGCGCCTTCCCCTCCGCGTTTTCGAGTACCCCTCGTGCCCCGCGCCCCTCAGAGGACCTGGGTTAGAACCCGTCTTGCTACTAACGTTGTAGCGAGATCCATAACATTTAATGATTATACGCAGTGTCTCAACGACACAACTAAAATGACGCGCAGACAGTCGTGTATAAAATCGAAATTGCATGAAGTATACACCATATCCGAAACGAAAATCGCTCTGAGTCCATGATGATAAGTGGTACAGTGTTCTAGATTCTATCGACACACTGTCATGGGAACATTATAAAATATTATTATTAAAAAATTCATTTCTTTTTTCGTATTTTTGTATTTTTTTAAAATAAAAACACATTTGTATATGATGTATAACATACAGGGTCCATTATGAAAGTAATGCGCATTGATTGATTGATTTTATTGTGACGCGAATATCCATCGCAGCGGGGTAAAATGGGTCGGGAAATGTGGTGGGGGGGCTTCCCCCCCAAAGCAGGCAGTC